TACCTTTTAAGTTGCATAAGATCAAAAATGGAACAACTATGCAAAAGCCGAATTTGAGGAAAAAGGTGTTTTTGAAGGATTGAGGAAATCTCTTTTTATAACAGGGTTCCTCCAGATCCTTAAAAAGTCTTAAAAGTCATTGAATTCATCAATCCAAAAAAAAAGGCCTTAATTAGCCCTAAAATGTCTTAAATCAATCTTTCTGAAGTCTTAGCATTCACACAATGGTTTCTGCTGTTAAAAATCACATTCTTGATTCAAACATGTTTCGTTCTTTATCAGAGCTCATGGTGACGATGGGTTTCCCTAAAGACGAGATCACTGAGTCTCTACAAAACCAAAAGTACGATGAGGTCATGGCCACCTACCTGCTGCTAGGCCGAAAAGCTCCGGAGGTGAGTTTACTTCAACTCCTCGACGTCACCGCCGCTTCGTGTCATCTGACCACACCCTGTTATTTGTGCTGCAGTTTGAGGGCAGCGAGCCTCTGACTAACAGCGTCCTGGGCCAGAGACAGAGACCGACCAGCGACATCAACAACAGCTCCAGCATTTCTCCCGCCCACCCCAAGGTCACGCGCAGCATCTCGGCCAATCAGAAGCAGCGTCGCTACAGTGATCATGGTGGGGATGATGAGGGTGGTGGTGTCGTAGAGAAGCCAAGTAAAGTAATCTTGTATTTCCCAGCTCTGAGAGTGCTGCGGACTGCGTGTTGTGTAGGGGGAAGTTACCTTCAGTCACTGAAAACTTCAGGATCAATAACCGCTTCAAACATGATGTGTACCTCTAAGGAAAATAAAGAAAATTCAGTTCATAACATATTTTAATGTTGACATAAGAACACACACAAAAAAAAGAAAAGAAAATCAAACGTCAAATTCAAGCTAGCTTATTTTAATAAATGCACTCATCAGTGACTTGGCCTGCATACTGCCTGGCTGTGTGGCAGCTTCCTCCTATGTCATGTGGAGCCATTGTTTGTGGCGCCATCTTGTGGCTCCCTTTGGAACAGCACCTCAAAGCATGAGGAGGGAGAACAGCTCTGCTTCGAACATGCTCACCTTGGCTTCTGTAGATGCACATGATATGAAGCAAAGTGTCATTGTTGTGTATGATGCCTGACAGACTTGATCCTGTGTAAATTTTGGCTTTGAGTGGCTTGGCTTAACGCTACTGGAACCAAGACTTTTGTCCTTGTCTGCTTTGTTTCCTAAATATTAGACACGGAATGGCCTTTCTGAACAGTTACAAATGTAAAATCTGACCTTTTATATTTGTGTCTCCTCCTCAGTGGGTCCATCTGTGCCACCAGCAGTATCATATTCGAAGCGTGGTCAGGCCTTGAGTGTGGAAAGTGACCACAGGGAGGAGTGGGACGGAGCTCGTCGGCTGGAGCTCAGCACTTCAAAAGGAGACGTTCCTGCTTCACCGCTGGGGGTGCAGGAGAGGAAGAAAGCCACGAGTGCTGTGGGGGTAAGGACGTGGACACACAAGCCCCTTCTCCATGAGCGTGCCTGTATGCGGTTCTCCTCGATTCAGCCTTGGCCAAGTGTGTCTCCTTTTACGCTTTCAGAACCACCTCGGCAGTGGTTCCAAGCGGGTGCAACCAGGTATTGCACACTTAAGATTTTGACGTCAGCAGACTTCTGCCTGTGGATTGGCTGAGCCAAAATCAGAACTTTCAAACTCCTCGTGCAAACTTTTTCTGGAGAGCAGTGCAGGCTGCAGGAGAAGAGCGCATACTGCTTGAGCTGGACGGCGAGGCCTAAAATTAACATTTTTTTAAACCACAACAGCATGCAGCCATGGAGACACACACCTTCACCTGAGCAGAATCAAACAGACCAGAGCCGAACAGAGCGAGACTTGAGAATGGAGAGGGGGCTATAAAATCAAATAGTCTCTTTTTTTTTACATATTTGTCACGTTGATTTAAAAAAGAGTTGGCCAGAGTATTTTGAAGTATAACTTCCAGTTTGAAGAGAATTGTTAATTTAGCTTCAGTTAAACTTTTAAGTGTCGTAGCATCCGATGATGTCATCGGTACAAGCAGATCCATATTGAAAGCAGGGGTGGGGATCTGAGTCACATGACTTGAACTCGAGTCAGACTTGAAAAAATTTTCAGAGACTTGTGACTTGACTGGGATTTTTACACCAATGACTTGGGACTTAATTTGGACTTAAACCTGTTTACCTGAAAAAACATTATATTTTACCAAAAATCTAAAGTTTAATACACATTTTTTATAAAGTGGGACCCCCTTAATTAATTTCACTCATTCTGTATTAACAAAGGCAGTTTTTATTTGTGTGTGAGCTGCAGCACAACAACTCAAATTAACCAGATTTAAAATAATGGAAAATTATAGTTTAAAGGAAGACTATTTTTGCAGCCAAGTTTATTTGACCTGTGCAATATAGAGGTGCAATTTTAAAATGCACGTTTCATCACAATTTGATTTGAATACAAAAAAGAGCACGTTATCTTATTTACATTTAACATAATACTGCAACAAGAGACTGAAATGGACTTGAAAGTCCAAGTTTCAGTCTTGAGACTTGAGGTTAAAGACTTGAGACAAAACAATGACTCGATCCCACTTCTATTGAAAAGAATCCCAAAATATGTTAATATTTGTCAGTTATTTAGTCATTTTATTTGCTTGTTTTTTCTTTACACTGAAACTTTCTGGTTTGGGTGTTTTTGTCTCCAAAAGCAGACCAACGGTTCGATGACTCGCAGAAATACGTATGTGTGTGAACGATCCTCCACAGATCGTTACTCAGCTATTCCCAATGGCAAAGACAGCAGGTAAAGATGCATTTATCTACAAATATAAATGGAGCTTTTGATTGTTTGTTTTTCCTGACTTTCTCTGGATTCAGTTTTAAGTCTACAAAGGACAAATAAACCTTTGGTGGTGATCGTCTGTGTTTGTTCCTCAGTTTAACGGAGGTGTCAGGAAGCACACCGTCCACCGCACTGAGTTCTACACGACCTCGCCACACCAAGTCCATGTCCTCGTCGGGGCATCCTTCAAAGAGCATGCTGCCCCCCATTGATGACAACACGGAGCTTAAATCCAGGTGGGTGACCGGTCAACATCTGCATCAGGATTTATAAGTTCCTGTTCTGATTGTCTTCTTTGATATCTGGCTACATTGCAGCTCCTCGCCGCGCGATCCCTCCACCTCTCCCTCTGTACACAGTATTAGCACCCCTGAGAAGAACCGGTTCCCCCGGGGCACCACCAGTCGCAGCACCTTTCACGGAGCTCAGCTCAGAGACCGCCGCAGTGCTACGTACAACGGCCCCCCGGCCTCGCCCACGTTGTCCCACGATACGGGGGCTCTCGCGCAGCAACGCAGGGGCACCTCCACGGGAATCATCAGCAAGATCACCTCGAAGTTTGTCCGCAGGTCCGTGAAAACAAAACAGATTCTTTGTTTGTAGCTGATAGAGTTTTACTTTAGATAGTTTTGGCTCAAAATCTCAGGAATGACTATCCACACTGGGTCACTTCCTGCTGACTTTCTGTCAGCACAGCAAAGAAAGGACAGACTCTCTTCATGCAGTCAGCTCCTACTGTCACCTTCAAGCCGCCCCTCCTGCTTGAGGCTTACAGCTTTCTCTTCTTTTCCTCCCGCCTATAGAACTCTGTCTTTCAGGTCAACCCGGAGGTAGGAGAACTTAACGCTTGCTGCTCATGTTCCTCGCTCCCGTCCAAAATAATATACATAAGAAAAGAAACTTCTCTTTGCCCTGTTTGTTTATAACTCCTTTATGTACTTGCCCATCACCACACCACACCTCTGTTATGCCGTGTCTCTCCTTCCCCTTGTCTTGACCGCCTTTATGACTAACATTCTTGGCTCACCAGCTTTGCCTCTAAGCCACCGGATGTCTGTTTCTGTAGCTGAGAGCTGTCCTCTCCTTACTCTCCTCCATCTTTACGCTGAGCTTAAGAGAAGCCAAATTACAGGAGCAGAAATGTAGGTTCTAGAACCACTCTTAACACACCAGTGGGGATTAAGGAAAGGTATGGTACACTGGGATGATGACACACGTGAGCTCTAAAAGTCAGAAGGTCACCTGATTGTGTGCTGAGCCCTCACACCCAGGAGTGTGGATTCTTTCCTGGCATGATGCCTGACCTCCCCGTCTGTGCTCGGTGACGATTGGACTGGTTTTGGTAGAAGGTGAATGGGGGCGAAAGGGTGGTGCTGTTATCAGCTCACGAGTATAAAAAGTCTTTATTGGGTTTGTTTCAGGGTGCCTAGTGAGGGAGAAGCCAGTGCCAGGACAGAAACACCAAGGTGAGATTTTGATCAGAAGGCTGACGTCTTGGAGAGCTTCCAACCGATTCCGTTAACACGCCTGTCCATGTTTGTGTCCACAGGAGCGCTTCTAGCGATTCCAAAGAAGACGGCAGTCGAGACGCCAAGCCCCGCTCGCTGCGTTTCACCTGGAGCATGAAGACCACCTCCTCAATGGAGCCCGCCGACATGATGCGAGAGATCCGCAAGGTCCTGGACGCCAACAGCTGCGACTACGAGCAGCGCGAGCGCTTCCTGCTCTTCTGCGTGCACGGCGACGCCCGCCAGGACAATCTGGTCCAGTGGGAGATGGAGGTGTGCAAGCTGCCCCGCCTCTCCCTCAACGGCGTGCGCTTCAAGAGGATATCGGGCACCTCCATCGCCTTTAAGAACATCGCCTGCAAAATTGCCAACGAGCTCAAACTGTGACAGCAGATGGAGTACCACTCAGGCTTCGGTGAGCCTCCCTCTCGTCACTGGATTAGTGTTGACTCACGGGACTAAATCAGCACTGAAGGGCCTCACCGTGCAGAATCAGGGTGGACTCGGCTGGTAATGTGCAATACTGGCCGTGAATGTACTGTACAGGGTAGTGCAGATCAGAGAGGGATAACGAGGTTTAACCTCAGTGACGGACAGATGGCAAAAACAACTAACCCTTCGATTTTTTTTGTTTTGTTTATTTTTTTGTTTTCCTCTTTCGGTCCGGCCTCGTCTCTCTCGTCAGACGCCGTCATGTAACACATGCAGTATGCAACTGAAGATGACCATCCCGCAATAATGTTTTCAGCCCGTTTTTTTTTCTAAATACTTTGAGGTCTATCTCCTCGCTGAATAACCATTAAAATTACTGTAAGCTAAAGATAACCGCTTTTCCACCTGTGTTAAGGCAGTATATAGAGCAGGCTGAAGCCCATACTAAAACTTATGTATAAAAAGAATTGTACTGTATGCATAACACCTGCAGGTACTGTATTGTATATTGACTTTGAGTTCTGTACAGAATTTTATTGTTAAAACCATTTTTTTTCATGGGATTAAGTTTTCCTAATATAATTCATGTCTCTTAGAGCAAATTTCTGTTGAGTTTTCTTTAAGTTGCCCCCCCTTTTTTTATCTGTAAGAACCACAATATAAAAGTAGTGTTTTCAGGTTTATTTAAAGAGCACTAAGTTATGTTGTGGAAATTTAAGGGAGACGTTCTTTTGCCTTTTCTGTTATTTTTGCCTCTTAAAAAAGAAGAAGAAAAAACCCAACACTAAGTTGCGCCACACACGAGTTGTTCAGACTGAAAACGTGTTCACTTTATTTTCTCTCCGCAGTGGGGATTTGGAGCTCCCTGCAGCAGTTGCACAAGTATTCCAGGGTGAACACGAGTGTGCACCATCTGTGTTTCTTTCATGCTAGTTCGGTTGTCCTCGATTACAGAAAACCGCAGGGTTTAATTTGGTTCACTTTAGAAAGAAACCTACTAGATGTGTGCATCCAAATGACTGAAGACGCATGAGGAGTCAAATGTTCGAAGTATTGCTGTGGAGCCTTTCTAAAGAGCCAGATTCAGTCCTGCTGTCGGTGTGATTGTGCAGGTACTTGTGTATCTCCTTGCTTGTGTTTTTATTTTATTTTTTAAATTCAGCTGATTTTATTGTATTTATTTCATGACATTGTAATGTGCTGCTTTGTAGATTTGAGGCGTGCACTTTGTCGGAGAAGATTAAAAGGATTTATTTGTTTGTATTTATTTAAGTTAACTTCTCACCGATTGTCGTAATTGCACAACACCTCTTAAAGAGATTTCTCTCTCAGGTAGATCCTGTCAGGATCCAGGACGTCACAAAGTTATGTCATGCAAAAAGCTTAGATGAAATATTAATCTTTATTGACTCTAAATAACATGGAATTAGTCTAAATCATGACACAAGGGATGTATTTTGCAGACATAATCGTCAAAGATCATAAAACAATTTTCTTAATTTTTTTCATTTCAGTTTCTTTAGTGTTTGGAAACAGATCAGATAAGGAAAACTGTTCAGTACTTTAAACACTAAACAAATTAACAATAAAAGTAAGTTGCAAGTATATACAAGTAGACTTACAATACTTTTGTTTTTTTAATTATATGCATAATCCTCTTCTAACAATTAAGAATCTGTCATGGTCCTTCTTTTAAACATACAAAAGCTTCATTTACAAATCTTGGAAAGACGGAAAAATGTAAACATTTGGCTTGGCAGATTTGTTTCATTAAACACGTCAGCTTAAAAAGTATTTTAATATTCCCTTCTGTAGATAAATATGAGATAAACGTATAAACATTGTTAAACAATCTAAAAAGCTGATTGCAAAAGGAAAGCAAAACTTTTGACTGTTTTTAGTGGATTGTTGATGGCCCATGTAAGACCCTTCATGCATTAAACTTCACAAACTATTCTAACTCTACCTTCAGATGCATGCCTCTCGAAGAAAATATTTGGTCGAGACACGTGCTTTTGTCTAAAACCTGATCATGCATGGATTTTGTTGGGGTTTAAAAATGACTGAAAATGTATGTACTTGAGTTTTCCTATGTGAGTTGATCAGCACTGCATCTGCTATGGAAAATTTCTTTACACACGCACAAAAAAAAGTCACAACTAACCATTCAATAAAATTCAAAACAAAAGGGAAGAATCCCTCAGTTGCTGAGATCAATGACCAGATGCTCATAGATCTGAGTTTTGCCTTTGAAGCTGGAGGCCAGCAGGAACTGACGGTTGTCTATGGAAATGGGAGAAAAGGCTCTTGGTGCCTGGATGTTCAGCTCCTGGAAACGGACGAACTCGCCCTTCTTGGCGTCCCAGCGGTACACCTGGGTGAAAGAGTAGTCGCTGCCCAGGATGGCGTACTGCCAGCTGCCCACGGCGAAGGGCTGGAACACCATGGAGCCTCGCGAGGGCATGGTCTGTAACTCTTTAAAGAGGGCCCCGTCCCAGCGCATCACCTTGGAGTCCCCGATGAAGCGCGTCAGGCAGATGAACAGATCGGACTTGACGTAGAAGTGCTTCACGGCGTAGACGTCCTCCATCTCTGGGATGTCTGTGCGTCGGTCAAACTGCTTGGTGGACTTGTTCCACTGGTAGACGACGGGCCTCTGGGAGCTGCTGGACAGGATCAGGTGAGGTTTGGAGGAGATCTCCAGGTACTCCACGTCCGTGTCCCTGTACCACGGGTGGAGGGACTGATGGGAGTAGAAGCCGTTGCCGTTCCACTTGTAGATGGTGGTGGAACCGGCCTTGGAGCTGTCCGCCACAACGAAAAAGGACTCCCCGTCGATGCGGAACGTCTCCACGTCGTTGGGCTTGCGGATCCTCAGGATGTCGATGCCCTGGAGCTTGATGAATTTGTTGGCAGAGATGTCCCGTTTGTAGATGTGCGAGCCTCCAAACAGCTGAGCCACGATGATGAAGAGCTGGCCGTCGATGACTAGAGGTTTGCAGATCACTGTAGACGTGCCTGTGGAGGAAAAAAAATAGAATGATTAAATACAGTTTTCCTTTTGTAATTTTATATTCAAAGTGACTTTATACTTACTGTCGATGTCATCAAAATTTCTGAAGACCATCTCGACGTGATCCCATTCTAGAAAGCTGCACTTCCCTATGAAGGGCTGTGCAAAGACAACATACTGGTCGTTCCCGAAAGAAAATGCTTCCACAGATATGGACTCAAACTTCAGGGACTGGTAAGAGGCAAACTCTGTGGGGGGAGACAAATCCGGAGAAAATGTTGGGATTTTTGCGCTTTCTAACGACAACTGGCTGAGGTGGCCAGGTTGAATTGAGTTGACTTGAAAAGTTAATTAGTTGTCGATGTACATCTATTGATTACTTTTTGGGGCAACTGGGAGTAGGGGAGTTGTCTTTGAACTGGTGGGTTGCACAGTGTAGACTGTAGTTATGAACGCTTCAGACTTGATAAAGCATCATACAAGTTTAGACCATTTGCCATTGGTCTGAACAGTGATTTTTTTTATTTTATTTTATTTTTTGCTAATGATGCAGACAAACAAACCCACAGACATTAGCAAGAACAATGTCACTCTGCCTTCTCCTTTGGACAATAATCAGTAGGTTTGGTACTCTACCTGTGGTGATGCAGTCAAAAGACTGAGGTTCCAAGTCGTTGATATTCTTGTCCAGCTGCGAGGCCGGGCCTTTACAATAAATCTGATCCACGGTGGCGTTGGTGCTGTAAATCCACTCTACCAACCATTTCAGCTTACAGTCACACGTGAAGTGGTTCCCACGCAAGTCACTGCAAAGGAACAAAAGCAATCGTCACGACAAAAGCTGACAGGAATTCTCTCTCTCTCTCTCCTTCCTTGCTAAGTTTAGGTCTGAACAGCTGCGGAGGATGAGGCAAGCCTGTGCTATCTCTACTCCTCACATCTTCATTCTGTCGCTCTTGTTGACTAGAGTGACTGATTAAAAAAAGGAAAAGCTAACATCTTCGCTGAATGATAGATCGCACAATCTCTCGGCGCTGCATGTAATTTTAATGGCGTTAAAAGCTCCGGCTGCCCACGCGTTTGTGAAACCTCAGCTGAAGTGCAATAAATGTTGCAGTGTTCTATTTATAGAAGAATGCTCCAACAGTGGCTTATTTGCCGTGCGATACAGTACACATATTAAACCCATGTAAATAGTTTATGTCAGTAAAAACCATACTTACACTTTTGTCAAAGCCTCGAGACCTTTGAACAAATCTTTGGGGAGAGTCTCCAGATTGTTGTAGGCCAGACTCCTGATGAGGAAGGAGAACACATGTTGCTTAGTTCTTAACTCAAAGAGCATCCTCCTCTGTTCTGTTTTACATTGATTAATCAGATGTACATAGTGTTTCACGTGAATAAAAGTGAGCGAGCGTATCACCACCCGGAAAGTAAAGTCAGGAACTTTGCTGATTGGACACTCTGGGAAATATGAAACAGTTTTACAAGCTTCTTCCCCGGGTTTTTATGGCTTTCTCTAATTAAAAACAGACGGGGAAATGTTTGACTTGTTGAAAGTTTGGTTCCGTTTTCAAGGCCTTGTGTTCAGGCAACTCATTATATTTGACAACCTAAACACGATGATGATTTTACACTTGTTTTTGCCTGATTTGTAATAAAGCATAAATACTTTAGGCATTTGCCTCATAATCATTTTTAACAGCTGCGCCGTGTCACAATAGAAGCTGTGCATTAACCTTTGTCAGCATTTTACCAGAACAGTGTTTTGTTTTCTGCTATTGTATACAGTTACACACTGTAATGTCCGCTGTGCTATTTTGGATGACCAACGTACAGTATCTTGTTTTATTTGCACAGTAAGTAAAATAAAACGTACTTACAGGTGCACCAAGGTTTTCAGTCCACGGAAAGCATGAGGTGAAATCGATCTGATGTGGTTGTTTTCTATAAACCTGAAAAAGGCGTCAAGCGCATGCATGAGAAAAAGCAGACCTTTGTGTGTTTTTTTAAAAATAAAAAAAGATTTCACTTACAGGTACTCAAGATGAGGAAGACCGACAAACGCATCCTCATTGATTAATTCCAGGTCGTTGACTGTGAAGAGGCTGCGCAGAGTTAAGATTTTACTATTTAGGGTCACCAGTGACAGGACGGGAACAATAAAATCTTACCAGGATTTTGGATATTTAACAGGTAACAACACTAGAAATCTGACTAAATGTAACTTTGAAACCCAGCTCAGAAAGTGTTTAATGTGCCAAATGTAAACAGAGCCCTCAAGGGCCATGAGGTCATCCAAGGATTCATGGAAAATCATCAAACTGTATCCTAAGTCTTGGGGAAATGACATCTACAGGAGGAGTTTGACTGAGCCAACGAGAAATGCCGATTAGTTGGATATCGTTTCTGGGTAAACTAAAGTTTGTTCTTTCAGAAAGCAAACAGGGTTTCATCAAACATTTTGTGTAAATATGAATGTATGGGCACAGAAACATCAGTGTCCAGGTTTGTTTCCTAGTTGACTAAACTCTACTGCATTTAGGACCTCCTTTTACTCTTAATATTACTTTAGTAAATGGTGGAGCAGTGGTTCGAGCTGTCACCTCTCAGAGAAGGTTACAGGATTTTCTCCCAGTCTGGGGCTTTTCTGGATGGAGTTTGCATGTTCTCCTCACGCACCAGTGGGTTTGCACCTGGTTCCCTGGTCTTCTTCCCACAGACCAAAATCATGCACATTAGGTTCACTGATAACTCTAATTCAATGGTCCTGACCTTTGAGGTCCACTGTATATTGCAGATGTAACAGGGGAACATCTAAAATATGCCTTCACTAACCAGGATTGGACACCATTGCTCTAAATCAGGGGTGCCCAATCCTGGTCCTCAAGAGTTAATACCTTGCATGTTTTTAGACCTGATATTAATGAATAGGTAATTAACAGGCTTCGCATTAATTCAGTCACTGAATCAGGTGTGCTGCAGTAGAGAAACTAAAACATAATGCAGGATGGTTGTCCTCAAGGACCAGATTTGGGCATGATTGCTAAATCGGCCCTATAGTGTGAATGGTTGTTTGTCTATGTGTCCCTGTGATGGACCTGTGACCTGTCCAGGCTGTGTCCCGCCTCTTGCTCACTGATTGTTGGAAATAGGCACCAGCTTTCAACCCAGACAGGAGAAGCAGGTAAAAATGGATGGATGATAAATGGGCACAAATGATCCAGAGTCTAAAATAGGCAGAGGCGACAATTTCCTTCCATTACCCCATAAACTTTTAATCTAATCTTCCTTTCTGAGATTAGGATGTGCACTTTTATGGGTCCTGCAGTCTTGTTTTTAAGAACATTGTGGCTCAGTCATGACTCAGAGGAATGAGGGATTCCCCTGGATTACATCTGGTTCAGATTCACACCCATATCAGACAAAACCAGACCGATGAGTCCAAATAAAACCAGATGAATAAGTGAAATCTCTGAAAGCCCTCTGCGTGGAGCAGCAGTGGCAGGGCACTGTCTTTAAACATGGCGTTGATCAGCTCACTGGGGGAATGACAGCACGCAACAGAAAGAGGAGCTTTTTCTCACAGCAGATGCAGGGCAGGCGTGTGGATGAAGCTCTCTTTAGCGATCTCTGTGAATTCCGACTTGACGAACGACCTGAAGGAGTCAAACACGACAAAACGAACACAGTTTAGCGGCTGCAGCAGACTTGTCTCAGTTATTGCAGGCTGTTCCTTCCTGCAGGATGCAGCAGCAGAGGAGACAAATCCAAGTCTCGGAAGCAGGAACCAAACAGCCTGTTTGTTGTAATATCAAATGATAATATATTAAAAGACAACATTAAACTGGACTTACAGTGATATGACATCGGGTGGGAAGCTGCGGGGGATGGATCCTGCGCTTTCGCACAGCGCGTTATCTTTGGTGCACGTACAGGACAGGGGGCAGCGCGGCTGCTTGGCTCTCCTGCTGCCCACCGAAAGTAGAACAGACGCCACCACGAGTGAGCCCAGCCACAGCGAGCTTTTGGACATTTTGCGTGTATTTTCCATCCACGCAGCCCTACACATGAACCGGGGGGGTGCGGTGGTTCCTGCCCGTGGGGGGAGGCCGAGCGACGCGACGCGCTGTCCGCTCCTGCCTGCGCGCCTGCTGGGGATCGAACCAGCGTCCCCCACAGAACTGCGATGACACACAATCGATATCCTTCCGTGACAACTAAAAGAAAAAGAAGAAGAAACTAATCGAAAAGTCTGCTGTGGAGTCTGGATCTCAGGAAGACACCAGCTGGCGCCGTGGCAGACGCGGACTGAGGGCAGGTGGGGATCCCAGCGGGATCAGAGGGAGCATCTCCATCCGAAACCACGCCTATGGATGATTTCAGCAACACCGCGCTCCGCTCCCCGACACCAGCCCGGAGGATTCCGCCCAACGGGCCGAGGAATTGTGCAATTTCTCCAGAATCAGGGGGAGAAAATGTGAGCCTGACATGAGCCAGTGGGCTGTGTGGCGCAGACGCGCTGCACGCGGAGGAGGAGGGGGAAGCAGATCCAAAAAAATAACTTGATACATTTAGCTGCAGAGCTGTCTCCTTAAGATTTAATAATATGTCATTTATGGGCTTTTCTTTTTTTGGGGACTTTGCAGCTATTTCCTCGTTTCTGTGCGCGGTTTCCATGGTGATGCAGGATGCTTCTGACCAGTGATGAAGGGGTGTAGGGAAGCCCCCCTGTCATTTAAACATCTGTTGTTTATGGAGTGAGCCCACACCTCCCCCATAAACTCACATAAAACATTCACTGTCATGAATTTCTGCAGAGCGTTACGTTTGCTTCAGTCACTGAACCAAACAAGCCCAGTGTGTCAGGATCTGTGCTTTTCCATTAGAATTTATTTATTTATTTATTTATTTATTTATTTATTTATTTATTTATTTATTTATTTATTTATTTATTTATTTATTTATTTATTTATTTATTTATTTATTTATTTATTTATTTATTTGATGTTAAAGATTTCATTGTCTTGCTTTTGTTTTCTGTGTTCCAGTTTTGTCCAGCTCCTGCCCCGGCCACTCTCACCTGTTCTCTGTTGTCATTTAGCCCAGGTGTCTCCACTCCTGTCATCGACCCCTGTCCGGAAACCCCCTCAGTTCTCATTCATCCGCAGGGGAACATTGTTGCGTCTCCCTGTCCTAATGTAAGTTAATCTTTTTGTTGTTTGTAATAAAGTTCCATTCAAGAGCCCCTATTTGTTTTTTAATGAATGAATATGTTCTAAAAGCCTTATTTCAATAATTTCACTGCAGTGAAAGCCCACATTATCAGAAAGAGTTTTAAGTTTTCTATAAATTCTCAATTGTATCTATTTTGAGTTTGTTTTGAAGTCCAGACACACACTTTTAATGTTTTCATCCCATCAAATGTTCCTTATCAGTTACCATCCCACTAAAACGTTAATCTGTCTGAACCTTAATAAATCCTGCTGCCTTGCAGACCGTCTCTTGTATTTCTCAATATTTTCACCTTCAGTTTAAAGGGGACACATGCAAAATCTGAGCTGATCTGAGAAGGTGAAAAAGGGGGCTTGTGGAGTTACAATAAGGAGGAATTTAGACCAAAGCATTGCAGTTCCGTTTTATAGACCCCAACTGAAGGATTTAAAATCCTGATATGTCTCCTTTAAGGTCCACACAATCAAAGCTTTTGTAAATTTTATTGAGTCATTTTTATAGAATTAGACGGTCTGCTTTGTTTGGTCTCAGATTTTATCTTTAAAAGAACTAAAACAGAAGTTGCAGGGTTGTGTTGATCTGTGTAATCTCAAGACAGTAAAAGTTGTTTAGACTACAGGAGGTTGATGCAGTATTTTTGGTTTTTTGGCTCGCTGCTGTTCTGTCTTGACCTTTTCTCTTTTATTACCACGACACTTTACAACATAAATTATTTTGTCTCTGAAAAATGACTTTTTATTTTTTAGTTTACACATGGAAAGTGTTCAGGTCCTGATCTGTGCAGCTGCGGCTCATTTAAACTGTGACAGAAAGGAGCTTCTCATCATTTTATCGTTCTAACTGGTAGGTTTACAGTTTTTCTGTGATTCATACTTGCAGTAAAGCTTAGAGCAGCTGTGCTCTGTGGAACTTAATGACAACACAATGAGTAATGTTAAAGCAAATGTTGATCTGGTCCTTCTAGCTGCAGGGGCCCACAGCTTCCTCACTCCTGCCCTGGATACAAAACTTTACCTTTTACTCTTGTTGCCCGGAGAGGTCTTCTTCATCCATCTAATCATTTTGTTTCTACTGGAGTTGTGAGATTAATATGTTTACTCTCTGCGCCTGGCATGCCTGCCTGCATCAGTTCCTTCTGGGAAGAGGCTTTTTAAAAGGGCTCTAAATAAACTCGCTCTGTTCTCGACCTCCCCTCTCTTTCTTTCTGTCCCATGATGTGATTACACCATCAGATATCCACAGCCAGTTTACCATCATAATGTCATTTTGTTTATAAAAATAAAAGCAGGAGGAGCGGGATCTTGCTCTGGGGACTGGGAGGTATTTGTGAGCCCCATGTTGGAGGGAAAAAAGTGAAAGGATGGAGCTGCTGCTTCTCAGGGCAAGAATGTGAACATGAATTGAAGAAGTAGAATTGGTCCCAAAGCAACTTCAATTTTTATTTTTTCACAAGTTTTGTTGGATCCCACAGAGAACACTGGATGTGATTGTTGTGCGGCTTGATGGTGAGGAGCGAGTGTCTAGGCTTCATAAATGTCACCATTCATCATCAGGATGGAGAACAGAGTGTCCAACACGTTCAGGGCCCCTCCAAGTGTTTTCTTCCTTTCACGGATTAATTTCTTGTAACTGAAGCATGCATATTTTAAAGGATTGCATCAATAACATGATTCTTCCACACAAACATAATTCAAATTATTGCACAAAAAAAGATTCCTTCTGTTAGACGGGTTTTTACATTTTCTGGATTCTCAATCCTGTTTTTTTTCTTGTTTGTTTTCTTGTATGTTTTTAAATGCTTAACGATTTTATAGGTACATTTTGTCACAGCTGTGGTTGTTTTTGAGATGCTTCATGAACAAAGTCTCAGTGAGTTTCTCACACATCAACATGAAAACTTGGATCTGGATTGTTGGGAAGAAAAGGTCACAAGCACCTAAAGACAAGCTTTCTCATTTTTGGTGTGAAAATTATTTTGTGAACCTCCAATTTTAGCCAACAATAAGTCAGTCAGTCAGTCAGTCAGTCAGTCAGTCAGTCAGTCAGTCAGTCAGTCAGTCAGTCAGTCAGTCTGTCAGTCAGTCAGTCAGTCAGTCAGTC